CCATGTGCTGTAATAATTACTTTCCTTTCTGTATTAGGATAGTATTCTAGGATGGTTTAGGGTTTAGAGTTTAGCAATAAACAGAGACTTCTAAAACTCCTCCCTCTCGCTCATTCTTAATTTTTTTTTCCGATTATCTCTCTTCTTTAATTTGATTTCATGTCTATTTCCCAACAATCTTATGCATAATTCACAGGCTATACTTATCGGGTCGGGTGTGATGCAGAGGTGTGAGAGTAGACACACGGATGACATGATCGAGCCGCCTCACCTACGACTTTCTCCTCAGTAAGAGCCGACGTTTGGTGTTGAAGGGGAAATATTACTATTGTTGTGATTTACAAGCTATCAATACATTCCCTAGTCTCTAGCATATATCCCAGACCAAGTTTAATTTGAGATCGTCCCACTCAACATGGAACCCATTAAAATGAGAATCCTTTGGGTTCGAATTGTTGAGAGGATTTATTACTTTACCATTTACTGTATCAAAATTTCTTCTCTCATCAGGTCTCTTGTTACAAATTACAATATGAGTTGGTTCAAATCGAATTTTGGTTGGATGGTTATAAAGTTGGAAGCCAAGCCAATGAATTGCCAAAACGACTCCATTTTTTTAGCAGGTTCGATCCAAAAGTATCAAACTCAAAAAGTCTGAGTAGGTGAAAAATATTCCCTTAGTCAAAATAAAGGTTCAAAGAATAAGACAACTTACTCCTTTTCTATGAGAATTGGAAGGAGAGTTGCAGAGGAGAAAAATGACTTGCTTCAATGAAGAAGATAGATCTTGGCCAAACAAAAAAACTACGAAGTAGAGGGAAACGGAAGATCAAAAGAGGAGAGAGAGAAGTTTTGAGAACATAAATTCATCTTCACGAAAAAGTAGTAGTATTTTGTTTTATATTTCTTAAAGTGAAAAAGTTATGTTAGCATTCATCTCAATTGTTGAAAGTGGTCAGATCTAAGGGGGTGCATTCAATTAGGATTGTATAAGATTTTGAAAGATTTTTTTTAAATGATTGATTTCCTGGAATTATATAACTCCTATAGGTTTTACCCGGATTTTTAAAATCTTTTTAAACGCTTTAGAATCCTAATTGAATACACCCCCCTAAATGTTTCAAAAGTGTGTCAAATTTTATGGCTTTTTGTGTGTCCCTTGATCCTGACCAATATATATAGCACCTGTTTCCTTTCCATAGTAAAACAGGTGAACAAATCTGTTTTAACCATAAAAGGTTTGAATCAATCTCAACCGCACAAGCTCATTAAAATAGATCTAATGGTTGAGCACCTCATTCCTCAAATAACACTATTTGAGGGATCCCTCAACTGAAGGGGACTATATATATCCCTTTTATTGATGGATACTTTAGATAATTTTATTTAAGAGGCACCTTTTAGGGTCTCCTACAAATATTTTTTCAACAATCGAAATCATATATTTTTTAAGTCTACATTCATAGATCATCCTTATAAAAAAAAAAATTAGACAAATCGGAAACTGTTTTGATATCCAATTGTGTCCTGCAAAATCAATGAACACGGTTATTTAAGAAAGTACTAAAATTTCAACAATTCAATTGAGTGGTCAAATGATATCGGATTCAAGTGATTTTTTTTTATAGAGATGATTTTTGAATGAATATCTACAAAATCGACGGTTTGAATTAGTGAAATACAATACGGAGTGGACCCTACAAGAGTGTCCCTCAAATAAGCTTATTTGACACTCGGCTATACTATTTAAATATTCATATACATTTAAAACGTATCGTCGGGCGGCTATACTTAAAATTGTTTGGTTGGATCCACAATTAATCCTATGGATCCTTAGGATTGGCGCATTCTTATAATATTTTTTTATTCCTATAAATTAAATAACTACTTGATCACCACACATAAAATTTTTTATTAAGTTTTAATAAATTAATACTCTTATTAAATTAATAAAATGAAAAATAGTATAGCCGCTCAGCTATACTATACTTAAAAATAAATAAAAAATTGTATAGCCGTGCGGCTATACTATATTAAAATTAAAAATAAAACAATGGTACAGGAACAAGTATAGCTGCACGGCTATACTATTTTAATGTTCGAATATATAAAATGCATAGCTGCGCCACTATAGCTAAAAATAGTATAACCCGATTCTTGCATCATTTAGCTTTTCTTGAGATGAAATTGGTTATATATGAAGGAAAATAAGATTGTTTCATAAAAGTAATAGTTTAAAGGATTGTTGTGGCTTTACTCATTAAGTAATACTAAGAGTAATTTATAAAATGTAAATACTCTTTCAATTTGATTCTAGAAGTTGACAAGAAAATTTGAATGGTGGAAAAAAAAAAGTCCAACCGAACTTTATATTTAATTAGTTGAGGCTTAAACTAGCTATTAGGTCTCGTTTAATGACTAGTATTGGATTGAATTTGATAACTCCTTATATTTAAAGTATATGTTTAAAGGATTTATTGGAAGTTTGAATGAAGTTCACGGACTTTTGTCCCACATTGGTAGAAAAAAGAAAAAGCGAAGTCTTTATAAGTGTAGTTGTCACATACTTAGTAATTGGAAGTTGGGCTAAGTAAAAGCCAATTGAGCTCTAAATTTGATTTGGGCATTAAATATTATCTAAATATTTAATATATATAACATTTATTCGTACTTTGGCACTTAAATTTCTTTTAAATTGTCGTTTGGTCCTTTAACTTTATCCAAATTACTTTTTCAATCCTTCCACTTTTCATTAATTTTAAAAAAGGCCTTGAAATATCAAGTAATTGCAATATAGTCCTTGTACTTTTTTAAAATTACAAAATTGTCCCAAAGTCCTTATAGTTCCATCCTGGTCCAAAAACGGTAAGTTTAATGATACGGTAAAGTTGAAGTCTAATAGTTCTTTGTTGTGCAAACATCTGGACCACAGGAATATGTATAATTGGGAATGGTAATTATGGTCAAAGAAAAAAGGTGAATATAGGGTCATCAGATTATTATGTTTGATCAAAATTCAAACAAACAAAGCAACGGTATAAGAGTCCAATTTTAGGAATTGCTGGAAAAATTACCCAATTAGGAAATAAAGCGAATTGAGCTTTTTGACAAATTTAAATTGGCAAGAATAATGCGTACTGAATCGACACAAATAGAATACGATTTCAGAAATAGAGCTTACCTCGGTGAGGAGTAGTAGAATACGGTTAGGCCTCATCATTTGGCCCGCGGGCTCATGGGCCGATGGGGGCCCGCCCGGCCCATTGGAAAAAAGCCCGGCCCGGCCCGTTATGGGCTTTGAGATGGCCCGGCCCGCCTTGGGCCGGGCTAGGCTTGGGCTTGGGTGTCTGAAGCCCGGCCCGGCCCGATTAAGCCCAAGAAAGCTCGGCCCGGCCCACCCACAAAAGCCCGGCCCGTTAGGCCCGCATATATATATAATTATGTATAAATAAGAGTTTAGGATTATGATTATATCACTTAAATCACATATATAATTTGTTTCATTTCATTTACTTTTCTTTACTCATTCCTAGTTTATAATTGGATGATTAGCACATTAATTTGTGTCAATTATTAATACAACAATTATATATATATATATATA